TCCTTGCTTCATACTCGTCTACACATCCTTGTACAGTTATACACATCATATTTGTTTGAACATCCTTGTCAACTTCATATTTGTTTGGATATCCAAATGATGTAATGTTTCTGTTGTTTTGGGCTATGGTAACATGGTTTCTGAAAAAAAACATCTCTATTTTTGGAGATGCTGGGATTTATATATCACGACTTTTGCTGTTTCAACGTTTTGGGTCTATTGAATCAAAGATAGTGGACAGTTAAGATAAGGCATCTGATTGAAGAGGCATATATGCTGCAATGTCTTTTCTTGTACATCATATTTGTTTGGATATCCCTGTAAAATTCATATTTGTCTGGATATCCAAATGATTTAATGTTTCTATTGATTTGTTCTGGGCTTGGTTCATGGTTTCTGAAAAAGAAAATCCATTTTTAGAGTTGCTGGGGTTTATATATCGCGACTTTTACTGTTTCAAAGCTTTGGGTCTATTGAATCAAAGATAGTGGACAGTTAAGATAAGGCATCTGATTGAAGAGGCATATAGGCTGTAACGTCTTTTCTTGGACATCATATTTGTTTGGATATCCTTGTAAACTTCATATTTGGCTGGATATCCAAATGATTTAATGTTTCTATTGATTTGTTCCGGGCTATGGTAACATGGTTTCTGGAAAAAAAAATCTATTTTTAGAGTTGCTGGGGTTTATATATCGCGACTATTGCTGTTTCAAATTTTGGGTCCATTGAATCAAAGATAGTGGACACTTAAGATGAGGCATCTGATTGAAGAAGCATATAGGCTGCAATGTCTTTTCTTGCACATTATTTTCTCGAAGCTTTTGGAGACTTCTAACACAATGCTTTGCATATAAAACCATTGATAATGTTGTGATGATGTTGGGCAAAGAAGGGTAAATAATAAACATTCTATGTTGCAAGATGAAATCATGTGGATTCCTTCTTAAAGTATGTAGTAAGCTGAGGAATAAGTTTATAGATAGAAGTTCTGCATGGAAGCATCAGAGAATCAATTGACATGGTATCAGCCCATTGTTGCAGTGAAATTAGGCCTGATGGAGGAACTTTTCTTCGAAGGTCAGTTCAGGAAAGGAGGGTGCATCACAAAGAACCTTAATAAAGGTCGTAAAAAAGAGGATCTGGAAGAGGTAGATAACATAGGGTGTACTTCTCAAACAGTAAATCAAGGACAAAGTAAGAAGGATTCATATAACAGTCAAAAGAAGGATATCACTTCTTAAAAGCTTGAAGGGTTGCTTGCTTTTATAAATTATTTTTAACCTTGTAGCTGCATATGTTGGTGTTTGCAACTATCTGATAGCTGAATTCAACATCTTTTCATAACTGTGACATATTTTCATCGGTGAGTTAACCATTTGAGTCTTTGACATGAAGGATAGTCGGTGTAACATTATCTTGAACCCCTTGTAGGGTAATCCAAGATATCTTTGGCACTGCCTTTATTAGAAAAATGAAAAGTGAATCATTTCTATACACCATGACGTGTGCAAGTTGAATTTATTTCTTTTGATTGTGTCCAGGACATCATGTTACAGCTCATGATATTCCTTGCAGCTTACAAACTAAAAGAGATACAGCCAGGAAAAAGTCCTATGCAAAAAGTTTTGCTATCTGATTCACTTGAGATGTTTAAATGTCATGCCACCTAATTGACCATGTAATGTAGTTTCTTCTTGTTTCTTTGTTTCCTGACAGGTTGCACCATTCAACACTTACTATTCTCAGTTGGGAGAGCATATGGCTCAAGTTGGTGTTGATCCTACTGTCAATAGATGGAACGAGCCCCTGGTGTTGGGGATGGTTGATCCTCACGATTCGTTATCCCATCCTGCAGGGGTTTCTGATGTACAAGCTGAATCCGCTTCATGCCTTGATCCTGACCTATTCTCGAATTTCTTGGTATGTTAATCCGAGATAATAATTTCTCATCGGTTACTTCCTCGTTTTCATGTCGTATTTACATTTGCCATGCAAATTTCAGAGATAACTCTTATTCGTTCTTTTCTTGGATATTATATGAAAATTCCCTTTCATGTGACATATCTAATGATTGACACTTTTCTGCTTTTCTAATTAAACTGTAGATTCCTAATTGGCTTGGTGAGGAGTCACCAGAGTCTATAAAAGGTAACCCGTTCCTGTTGCCTGAGATGTATTTGGCTTCCCAGAGGAAGAAGGTAACGGTCTGGAATCTAATTTCAAGTGGATACTTTTGCTTCTTGCAAGTGTTATGTTTCTTATTCTTTTATCCGTATGCAATGCATCACTTTTTTCGTGGTTAGCAAAACTGTCCCAACTATTGCTTTACATACTACAGCTTTTACCTTGGTATTACTTTCGTGTTTACTGATTCTTTCTTCAAAATTTCCCTGTAGCACTCAACTGTGGTTGAGGTCCAACGAGCTTTAAGGGATGTGCAAATTGATGAGAGTCAGAGACGAGAGTTAGCGTGTGCCCTCCATAAACATTTCAAGGACTGGCTATATGGTACTTTGTTGTTTCTGTCTGCTGTGTCTGCTTATTAAATTTACATTATCTTTGCACACACTACTTTGTCATTTTAATACGCTGGTAATAGGACAATGGGTATCTTCTAGGAACCATCGAATATTCATTACTAGTGGTTGAGAGGTTTAACTGAAAAAAATCATTGAACCTTTTAAATATTCCACATGTCCGTATTTACTGTGGCCAGCCACCATTTCGAATCTTTGTGATGGTTGTATTCTGTTTTCCACAAAGAAAAATTCCCAGCTTGCATGATTACGTAGCGTCTTTCACAAATTAACTTCACTACTATACAAGATTACTTATTACTATTATTATGGGTGACAATTGACCTATATGCTTCTTTTTGACTTGTTATGATAAGCAACTCACATTCTCCTGATAACCTGCTTTATCGTATGCATATTAGCTGAAGATAGGCTGAAGTTTATATGTTTAACCTCTCTTACAGCCTCGGGGAATATCCGCCAGCTCTTTTGTCTACAGGGAGATTGAATGGAAACCAGCCATTGGACTTGTATGTAATTCATCACCTAAGGTTTGTGAAGTAAAGCTCAGTTTTCCTGCAGCTGAGATCCCTGCACCATGAAACTTTTTGCACAGATGATGTGTATGTTGGTTAAATTGCATTGGTTACTGAAAAATGACAAGTAAAACTATGTGAATATGAGGGCATATCTTCTCTTGTAATTTTTGTTTTTCTTCTATTCTGTAATGGCAAGGCGGAGGGAAATTTTCCAGATTCTTTTGGGCTTGTAAGAGGCTTTTATTTACAGATGCTCGAGATGCGTACGGTGTTACTCTACCTGTATCATGGTTCAGATGGCTGCATTTCTGGGATAAAATTGTTTGCTGCTGGCCAATAAAAATCCAGCCATAACACCAACATTGAAACAGATTGGTGGTGGTCTTCAGCATGAATTGGCGATTATAACTATCCGGTTTTCTTACTTGATCTTGAAATAAGTTTGGGAGATTTGATTAGGTTAAGCAATGACACAATTCTGACAATGGGAATAGATACTGTATGGACTTTGTTTTCAAGGAGACGATGCGCTCTGTAAAGGCAGTGTTTGCTGAAAGGAGTCCGTCTAGGGAATTGGAAGCCATTGCATTTAGAATGCTTGTATTTTGAAACCTGATAGATATAACCAATATTGTGCAAATTGGTCTTGTTTAATGCATTCAATTTTTGGTCACTGGTATTAACTTCAGAATATCAGAACTTTTACGGGTTCCGTTTAGATTTACAAATGTTGTGCGTATTAGAGAAATTACGGTGTTTGCTGACATGAACGCAAAAGCGAGAACCCGACGTTCTCCAGCAAAATATATCGTGCGACATGCGACATGCTTGTCTTTCAATTCTACTTCATGGACAAGAAAAGCAACTGTTGCTGGGATAAAAAGTGTTCACGGTTTAGCTGTAGTCAGCGATGATCCCATCCACCACTGTGTAGCACGTGCGGTCTAGAAACACAATGGTAATATTGCCACCATCCTCGGTCCCTAGTTTGATTATCTATACAGCGAGGAGTAGTTCTATAGGGACCCCAAATCATGGGACTCAAGGGGGGACAGGTGAGGTGTCAACGTCTGGGCGCATGATCTACTGTTCATGAACAGTAGATCATGTATCCAGGGGTTGACACCTCACATGTTCCCCATTGGTTCCCATGATTTGGGGTCCGATTTTTTCCAGCGAGGAGTGGCGGAATGGAAGGTGGGACCCACACCTTGGTCACTGGTTTGATTATGTCTATGTGGCGAGGTGGAACCCACACCTAGGTCACTGATTTGATTATGTCTATACAGCGAGGAGTGTGGGAATGGGACCCATACCAGGATTTGCTTGGTAGAGATCACTATCAAACTAAGGCTTCCATCTGGGCCCTAGGGATCTTCTTGCCTTCCCAATGTTTTTCCTTGTATCTAAAAAACTATGAATCTATATGAATCTATAAAAGGAAATCATTATATTTTCTTTTAAGAAAAAAAGAAATCATTATCATCCACACCTGAAATGCCTTCCCAACATTTCCCTTGTATCTCAAAAACTATCTCAAAAGTATGAATCTAAAAGGAAATAATTATCTTTTCTTTTAAGAAAAAAGAAAAAAAAAGGAAATCATTATCATCTGACACCTGTAATGCACATGAAAAAAAAGCATGAATCATACTCAGAATTTTGACCTAGTCATCTGCCTTTCATTTATTAAAGGGAATAAATCTTATGGGGGGAAAAAAGAATTTAGTATTTATTAGTAATTGAATTCAACTCAATTACCAATTGCATATTTTAGCTAAACCAGGCCTTCAATCATTTTTCACGACTCACATTTCCAATAATATGCCAACAATAAGTCATGAAAGACTATTTCAATCTATTTTGAACTCCTTTTTCAATCAAAAGTCTAAAAATGTCATGACTTTTTTTTGCCCCAATTAAGTAGTCAGAGCATCGTATATTAATCTTTCACAGTTTTGAAGTAATCTATAACGAAGGCAAAAACGAAAAAAATTGTCTAATTTCAATGAAGATCAATGCTTATACCTTTATTTATTTATCTATTATTTTTTTTTGAGAAAAAGATCAATGCTTATAACTAAAATACATTGAAGGTCAAACGAAGCTGATCAGTTTTGCAGTGCAATTGATATCATCAAGTGAAGTTTCGGAAGCGTCTTTGTGCTGTTCTGAATCTGGACATCCAAATCCAATGACAATCCTTTTGAAAAGCTAGTCGAAGAAACGACTCAGAACTTTTTGACATGGACCTGCGCTCCTTGTTTCTCACTTGACTTGAGCATTGCTTCTAAAACAGCAACATCTCGTGCACCTTCAATATAGGAACTCCGCGGTTCTGCTTCGCATGTAGCTCCTTCCTGCATCAAAGGTTTGTTCGGCACTAACATAAGTGATACAAATAACGGCTGGTTTGGGCTTTATGTTGTGAATCCTACTCGAAAGTGTATTTCTTTTTCAGAAATGTAATACGAGGTAACATTTTGAAAGAAAGAACATCTAATGAAAGGAAAATTAGACCAATTTATCATACGATGTTTGTGCCTTTTCTATAGTACTTCTTTTAGGCAATAGTGCGGTTTGAGTTGCCTCAAGTACAATGATTATCCGTAAATCTTCAAATTTGCACTATTAAGGCAGTGATGGCTTCCAATATTTCAAGTTGCAGTATTGGGAGAAATGACCTTTCATCTATAAGGGTTATTGATGAACAAAAGAAAAGGCACAAATCGAACATGTCAACAGAATATTACAAACTGAAAAGAGAAAGATAGTGTATTTTCATGATACCTTACTACTAGCCTGTGCAATGTCATGAATAAAACACTTCAATTCTTCATTCACTCCAGAGAATGGATAGAAGGTTCTTTGACTATGACCATCTGCTTTGTTAAACAATACCTACAACAGAAAAAACCAACATCGCTAGATTGAATGTCTATGATGTACCCCAGTTCCTCAATAAAAGAACTTGAAGAAATTAGAACGCAATACAAAGAGTACTGATATGTACCACATAACCATGGCGACTACTTTCATTGCCGCGTTCAATTTGCAGTGTTCCCTTTGACCCATCAATTCGCCACAATATCTGATAACACAGAAAACTAAATATTGAAATGGGGGGAAAAAGTTCCCAGGCACTTTAAAACCTACAATGAATCATTTTGGAACCCATAGCAATTTTCTAAGTGCAGACATGAAGGGATATAAGTAACAACCATATACAAAGGCCTGTTTAGAGAGAATTGTTTTGTTGGGGAAATCACCCACTAAACCAGAGAATAGAACAATCACAAACACAATATTTACGTGGTTCGATCAAATTGATCTACGTCCACGGCAAGAGGGTGTATCACTATATTCAATCTCAACATACAACACCCATACAAAATATTGAGAGCTCACAGATTTCTTGTGTGGCTTTCTCTCTCTTTTTCTCTCAATCACTCTCTGCTGGTTTGGAGTTTTGGAGTGCGTTTTTACAGAGGAAGAGAGGGGGGGTTTATAGCTTCCATGCCTTTTCTTTTGTCAACAAATTCGGCACCTCCTCTCTCTTGATGTCAACAACGGAGGCTGCACCTCCCCCTCTCTCTTGATGTCAACAATTGAGGCCACCGAAAGTTTTGTTGGCCTCAATTGTTGACTAACAATGACTAACAATCTCCACCTCGGTGAAGTTTTCCCAAAAAACTGAGCCGACACCAATAACTAGTGAGTCTTCACCCATCTTGCAAACAATGCCCCAAAAGGGGCCACTTAACAAGTGCGAATGCCTCCCAAATTCAAGCAGTGCTTGAACTTGAAGGCCGGGATCGAAGTCCAAGCTCCCTCACGAGATTTCTCAACCAAATGGCCTCTTTTACCGCTTCTGCTGCTGCCATGTATTCTGCCTCTGTAGTAGACAAAGCAACTGTCGACTGTAGAGTTGATCTCCAACTAATAGCTGAGCCAGAAAGAGTAAAAAGATAACCAGTCAAAGATCTCCTTTTATCGAGATCACCTGCATAGTCAGAATCCACAAAACCTACAACTGAGGTTCCCAAAGTACTGCTATCAAAAACTAAACCCAAATCTGAGGTACCCCTGAGATACCGAAGGATCCACTTTACTGCTTCCCAGTGTGCCTTCCCTGGTTGAGCCATGTATCTGCTCACTACACTGACTGCCTGGGCAATGTCTGGACGAGTGCAAATCATAGCATACATTATGCTACCCACTGCATTGGAGTATGGAACTCGGGACATCTCCTTCTTCTCGTTCTCACTTGTAGGTGAATCTGAAGCCGAGAGCCTAAAGTGAGGAGCCAAAGGAGTCGTAACGGGTTTGGCCCTTTTCATCCCAAAGCGTTCAAGCACCTTTTCAATATAACTCTTCTGTGAGAGATATAAAGTTCCAGCTTTCCTGTCCCTCCTGATCTCCATACCTAAGATCTTCTTTGCTGCACCAAGATCTTTCATCTCAAACTCATCACTGAGTTGTTTCTTCAAAATAAGAATCTGCGACATGTTCTTAGCAGCAATAAGCATGTCATCGACATATAATAGAAGATAAATAAAAGAATCATCTCCTAGATGCATGTAGTACACACAACTATCATAAGTACTTCTTGAGTACCCATGACTAAGCATAAAATTATCAAACCTCTTGTACCACTGTCTGGGAGATTGCTTCAGGCCGTACAAAGATTTCTTCAATCTGCAAACTTGATCTTCTTTACCTTCTACGAAGTATCCCTCTGGCTGAGACATGTAGATAGTCTCCTCAAGTTCGCCATGCAAGAATGCAGTCTTCACATCAAGCTGCTCAAGCTCCAGATCAAATAGAGCAACCATGGCAAGCAATACACGGATGGAGGTATGCTTCACAACCGGAGAGAACACTTCATCATAGTCAATTCCCTCCTTTTGTCTATAACCCTTAGCCACCAACCGTGCTTTGAATCTAGCATCTTCAACCCCTGGGATCCCTTCTTTCTTCTTGAAAATCCACTTGCATCCAATTGCCCTTTTACCCTTAGGTAATTGCACCAAATCCCAAGTCTGATTCTTGTAGAGTAACTCGAGTTCTTCTGTCATAGCTGTGGCCCAACGTCCAGATTCTCCGCATGAGACAGCTTCAGTAAAGTTTGATGGCTCTAGAATACTCATATCTTCAGCTGTCGTGAGAGCATACGCCACTAATTCAGCATGTGCATATCTTTGAGGAGGTTTGATATGTCTTCTCTCTCTGCCAGTGGCTATGGAATAAGGTTCTTCAGTCTCAGCATCATCAGCATCTGAGCCTGAATCATGTTGCTCTTCTACAGCTGTAGGAGCAAATTTTATAGACGACTTTTGAGACGTCTCTCCCTCGAGCTCCACCTGAAGCTCCACCTTATCCATGGTCTTCTCTACATTTCCTGTAGACTCAACAGAAACCTTCCCATGATCAAGCATATATCTTTCATTAAAAGTAACATCTCTACTAATAATGAATTTAGGAGAATCAGGTTCAAGACTCCACAAACGATAGCCTTTTACGCCATCAGCATAACCAATAAATATGCATTTCTTAGCTCTAGGCTCAAGCTTACCCTCTCTAACATGATAGTAAGCGGGACATCCAAATACCTTTAAATTTGAATAGTCATTTGGTTTACCTGACCATACCTCATTTGGAGTCTTGTGTTCAATGGCTGTAGAAGGAGACCGATTCACCAAGTAACAAGCTGTGTTAACAGCTTCAGCCCAGAAGCCTTTATCCAAGCCAGAGTTTGAGAGCATACACCTAGCTCTCTCCATCAACGTTCTATTCATGCGTTCTGCCACCCCGTTTTGCTGAGGAGTGTGCCTGACCGTGCGATGTCGTACGATCCCAGAATTTGAGCAGAACTGATTGAACTCACCACTGCAGAACTCTAAGCCATTATCTGTTCGGAGACGTTTAATCTTCTTTCCAGTTTGATTCTCAACAAGTACTTTCCACTTCTTGAAAGTTTCGAACACCTCGCTTTTGCGCCTGAGAAAGTAAACCCAAACTTTTCTGGAAAAATCATCATTAAATGTCAGAAAATAAAGAGCATCACCTTTGGATGGAACCTGAGCAGGTCCCCATAAATCTGAATGGATGTAGTCGAGAGTGCCCTTCGTCGTATGTGAGCCAGTCGAGAAGCTGACCCGAGTTTGCTTCCCAAACACACAATGCTCACAGAAATCCAGTGATGATGTATGATCACCACAGAGTAAGCCACGTTTACTCAAAATAGTCATTCCCTTCTCACTCATGTGGCCTAAGCGCATGTGCCACAACTGAGTAGTGTCTCTATCAGCATCAGAAGACACACCTGCAGAGCCTGTCACCGTACTGCCTTGGAGAACATAAAGACTGTTCACCTTACTACCTTTCATCACAACCAATGAACCCTTAGTAACTCTAAGAGCTCCACCTTCGTCAGTGTAAGAACACCCAATAGAATCCAAAGAACTCAAAGAAATCAGATTTTTCTTTAAGTCCGGGATGTGTCTCACATCTGATAAAGTTCTCACTATCCCATCGTGACACCGGATGCGAACTGTACCAATGCCAACTGTCTTGCAAACTGCATTGTTACCCATCAAAACTGATCCACCACTTATAGATCTGTAAGTAGTGAACCAATCTTTATTTGGACACATATGAAAAGACGCACCTGTATCCAAGATCCATTCTTTATCGGAACGGCCATCCAAGGGACATACTGTAAGAACCGTCTCAGCAACAACGGCAGTATCAGCCTTTGCCGTATTAGCTGAATCTGATGTTTCACCACGCTGGTTGTCTTTCTTCTTTAGAGCATAGCATTCTGACTTGTAATGCCCTTTCTTGTGACAGTAGAAACACTCCACATTTTTCTTGTTTGGGGCTGACCTGGACTTTGAGCGATTTCTGGATTGCCCTTTATCACCTTCTCTGGCCTTCGATCTACCTCTGGCTAGCAGACCATCAGCCTGCCCATCGGTACCTCTCCCATTCAACTTTGTTCTCAACTCAGCAGAGTTCAAAGAGGCCTTCACATCCTCAAGACTTATGGATTCTCTTCCATACAACATAGAGTTAACAAAGTTTTCATAAGAGTTAGGCAAGGAACATAACACAATGAGAGCCTGGTCTTCATCATCAAGTTTAAGATCCAGGTTTTTCATATCCATGACAATTTTATTAAATTCATCAAGGTGTTCTTGAATGGGTGTACCTTCTTTCATCTTCAATGTGTATAGCCGCTGCTTCAGGTATAATCTCGTAGTAAGAGATTTCTTCAAATAGAGACTTTCGAGCTTTGACCACAACCCCGCTGCCGTTTCCTCATCGGCAACTTCACGAAGCACATTATCGGATAGTGACAATTGCAAGGCGCTGTGAGCCTTTTCGTCCATCTCTTCGATCTCGGCACTAGTCATATCTTCTGGGTATTTCCCATCGATAGCTTTAACCGTGCCTTCACGTCGCAACAAAGCCTTCATCTTTATCCTCCATAGGCCGAAATTATTTTGGCCATCAAAGATCGACACCGAGAACTTCACAGAAGCCATTGTGGAGGATTGAAAGCTGTCCTAGAACCGAGAAGCTCTGATACCAGTTTGTTGGGGAAATCACCCACTAAACCAGAGAATAGAACAATCACAAACACAATATTTACGTGGTTCGATCAAATTGATCTACGTCCACGGCAAGAGGGTGTATCACTTTATTCAATCTCAACATACAACACTCATACAAAATATTGAGAGCTCACAGATTTCTTGTGTGGCTTTCTCTCTCTTTTTCTCTCAATCACTCTCTGCTGGTTTGGAGTTTTGGAGTGCGTTTTTACAGAGGAAGAGAGGGGGGGGGGTTTATAGCTTCCATGCCTTCTCTTTTGTCAACAAATTCGGCACCTCCTCTCTCTTGATGTCAACAACGGAGGCTGCACCTCCCCCTCTCTCTTGATGTCAACAATTGAGGCTGCACCTCCCCCTCTCTCTTGATGTCAACAATTGAGGCCACCGAAAGTTTTGTTGGCCTCAATTGTTGACTAACAATGACTAACATGTTTATTTTTACCTTTGGTGATGCTGATGATACTGCCATTACAAATACGCCAGCACAGCCATTTTCCAGTTGACTACACATAAGAAAAACATGTTAATAGCAACTAATTAGATGACAACCTCAACAAATTTATCCGGAAATTGGTGGTAATGAACTTACAATAGGGAACATAAATTATCAGGAGGAGGCAAAGTCTTATCAACATAATGGGCAATAGCAGATACTGTTGAAATTTCACAACCAGCAATCTGTTAACAGTAAGGAAAAACAAAATTAGCTGTACTTTACAGCAAAGAAACATTTATCAAATACATTCACATGCTTCCTTATTCTTTGGATGAAGATTCAACTATGATGAATAAAAAATGACGGGAAGCACATTCACATGCTTCCATATTCTTTGGATGAAGATTCAGCTATGATGAGTAAAAGATAACGGGAAGCACAAGAGTATAAATTGACCAGAAAATGCTTAGATATACATAAGTCCGCCGCATGCTTAAAATCAGCTCGAGCACTCCTCAAGACTTCACTCATCTTGATATTACTTCAGCTTGAGCATGCTTAACTAGGATATATTTTTTCCTACAATTCTTTTATTGAAAACACGAGCTGCAATTAATTCTTAGTTTATGCGAATTATTATATACGAAAGCTCGCTCATATGTCAAGTGGGAGTATGCACTTAGGTGCAACATAAACCTTGTTTAGGGAAACATAATATTGCCAGGCTAACACTTGACACCAGGAGATGCAAAATTTTAAGGTCGACTCTTATGGGTTCTTGTGGCTCTTAATGATTCTAGACATGATGCTATGTCTCAACTACTTGTAGTTATACCTTTGCTTTCAGATTGCATAACTAGTAGATGAGATAGCCTATGGTGAGAAAACATATGACTTGAACTCTTTACATAATAGTAGAGAGTAATGGGTGTATATACAACCTCATGCCATCGTAGTATCAGTTCTCGGAGAATTTCCGTTCCATTAAGTTCTAATTTTAATAAATTGACATTTTTCTGTGCAATAGACGTACACAACGGGCACATGTCTAGAAAATTAGAGCAAGTTTGGTAAGTGGTCAAAGTGGCTTGTAAGTCACTTTGAGATGTTTGGCAAATGGCAAGTGGCTTATTTTGGCTTATAATCCACCAAAAAAATAAGCTAAGATAGCCTAGCTTATTTTTTGGTGGATTATAAACCACAAGGTTTGACCAAGTAAAAGACATAGATATCCCTCAACATTTAACAAAATCCAACTCATGTCCTTTTTATTGGATTATAAGCCATGTCCTTTTTGGTCACTTTCACAACAATGATGGATTATAATCCACCCATTTGCTGAACACTACACTATTGAAAACGGATTATAATCCACTAAATTTACCAAACACTATTTGTTATAATCTACATGGATTATAATCCAAAGTTGCCAAACATGCTCTTAATATCAGGTATGTACTTACGTTGTCATGTCACTCATGCTACGCGAGTTGACAATTAGATAGAATGTGAACACAACTCTAACCTACATAACTCATAAGTGTGGACGTCTATTAAGAGAAACGTGTTTATATATTCCCCTTAAATAAATATCTTAAGGTTTGCAGATGGGCATAATGGTGTCTCGCCTGTTGTCAGTAAATTCACCATCGGAACTTGAAATATTTCAGTGCATTAGAAGAAAGCAAATACCATTTTGTATGCTAAATACAATCTAACTGTAGTAAATATGAATGGAAGCACTCTCTAGCCAATATGATATGGCAAGAACTCTCTTCAAATTAAATGATATGAGCAGAACTGCTCAACAGCCAAGTGAACATTGACATCAAGGAGGTGCATGAGATATTTTAAGAGGCTCCATCTGATTAATGTTTTTATTTCAGAATTCACTTGATCTTATGTATTTAACTTCAACGCATTAGACATTACTTTTTTCATCAAAATTTTATTGGTTTCTTCCTATTTTTAGAGCATTAGCAGCGGAACTGATGGCCGTCATAGGCCTACAGATTTTTTATTATTTATTTTAATTGCTATCCCATAATAACCATATGACTAGTTCTTCCTTAAATAAATTAAGTATAAATTACAAAACAACAGAAAATTACCATTCTTAATCCTGCAATGAAGTGTACCCCCATATCTAAAATGAAACCTCCCTGCAAAATGGAATCAATCATACATTTGATTAGCAAAAGTTCTGGGAAAATTGACTATATACTTTTAATATTAGTATGGTTGAGCTTTAAAGCTAAGATTAAAGAAATATATGAAGCTCTCACACAAATAGTTAGGCACAGATGCATAGACATACTATTTTTGTGGACAACTGATCTATCAGTTTAATTGTCATTTCCTCAGGTCACAGCAGCACAAGCAGGCACTTTCTCTTTTATATGTATGTTTATATTTATATGTCACGGGGGACTCTTTGGAAGGGGTTTGTGAAATTAAGGTGGCGTTTGGTTGTTTGCAACTAGAGTTGCAATGCAAGTGTCACTTGCATGCAACTGAGACGTTGCAACTCTTCTTACATGCAACTACAGTTACAATTGTTTGGTTTAAAATTTAAACTTTGCAACTTATAGTTGCAGTTGTTTGATTATGCTTATAACTTAACATATGCAACTCATAAAATATTTTTAAAAAATAATATTTTTTAAAAAGTAATATATTTTTAAAAAATAATATATTTTTAACAAATAATATATTTTTAAAAGTTAATATAATATTTTTAAAAATAATATAACATATCATTTAAAATATATATTATTTTTAGAAAATTATATTATTTTAAAAATACATTATTCAAAAAACATATTACTCTTTAAAAATATATTGTTCAAAAAAAAATATATTATTTATAAATATATATTATTTTTAGAAAATTATATTATTTAAATATTATTCATTATAAAATAATTATAATTTTAAATAATATTATTATAAAATATATAGTATTTTCAAAAAATATATTTATTCAAAAAAATAATATTATTTTAATATATATTATATTAAAAATATATATATGATTTTAAAAAACATATATTTTATAAAAATTATATTATTCTTAAAAAATATACTTATTTTAGAAAATATATATTATTTTAAAAGAAATATATTATTATTTTAAAAAGTATATTATTGTTAGAAAATTAATAATTATTTAAATAATATATTTTAAAAAAATATATTATTCAAAAAATATATTATTTTAGAAAAATAATAGTATTCCTGGAAAATTTTATTTTTCAAAAAATATATTATTTTAGGAAAATATATTATTTTAGAAAAATTATATTATTCAAAAAATATATTATTTTTAAAAAATATATTATTTTTAAAAAATATATTATTTTTAAAAAATATATTATTTTTAAAAAATATATTATTTTTAAAAAATATATTATTTTTAAAAAATATATTATTTTTAAAAAATAATATATTATTTTAAAGATAATATATTACTTTTAAAACTAACATATTATTTTGAAGAAATTATTATAATAATAATTATTTTAAAAGATTGATGATGTTTTTTTTAAAAACGTTTTTGAAGAAATTATTATAGTAAGAATTATTTAAAAGATTATTTTAAACCTTAAATGAATTTATTTTTGAAATATTAAGTAATGATTTTGATTTTAATAAATTTAGGTCAGTTGCAACTATGACTTGCGGTCATTTTTGACGTAAGTCATATGTTGCAACTAAGGGTTGTTTTGCAACTGTGGTTGCAGCTGCAACTGTGAGTTGCAGCAAAACAAACACATGCAACTAGTCAAATTGGACCTAGTTGCATGCAACTGGAGTTGCAACCACTCCAGTTGCAGCCTACCAAACAGCCCCTAAAGTTGGTGTGTCCTGTTTGCCAGAATGGCAGCATACATGAGTATAAACAGCAGCTATTTAGGCAGAGATATATTTATGAAATTAAACTTTTGAAAGATAAAAATGATATATTTAGAGAGAGCAAGAAAATAAGAAACATAGAAGTATGACCAAGGGGCAACACAGATTCACAACTAAGTAATATTTCAGTACAGTTCAACTGAACAAGTAATATTTCAGTACAGTTCAACTGAACTGGAGCCATTAACCTTCTAATTATTAGATAACTTTCATGCTATTATGATATTCATAAATGTATCTCCTGTTTTCCAGCAGGGCAGCACAGATGAGTATATATAGCAGCTATTTAGACGGAGATATAGTTGTTGCTGAACATTGGAAAGATAAAACATTAGATATTTATAGGGCTAGCAGGAAAATAAGAAACATAGAAGTATGAACAGGGAGCAACACAGATTCACAACTAAGATCTCATAAAAGTTGCAACCTATGTTACCTGGGGTACTTCTAATATGGGGTCATACCCGTACGCAACATGTGTCATAAACATAGCCGTACCTGACACTTCTTGGACACGCCTTAAATATATGCATATATTTATTCAGAGCTGTACTCAATTATACAATGCATGTTTAATTTAAAACACTCATTATATACTTCCAGATATATATCCTACAATTCACATCCATTTTTGTAATTTGTTGGACAAGGATCGAGTTTGTTTCAGCCTTAAGAGCTATTATTTAAAAGGGCCACTTACATATGTAGCTCAGAATTATGACTATATCCCATGAGTTTCAGCCATGTCCTCGTATCCTACCTTTTACAAATTTTCCGTGCCCCATACCTGCACCTGTAGTCATACTGTCCCCGAGTGGCTTAGGTTGCAACTGAACAGAAGCCATTAACTTCTAAATGATGACAACTTTGATGCTATTATGACAAACTAATGTATTTTTCTTCCTAATGATTGTAACTATAAAGAGATAATGCTATATTTGAAACTTTGAATGCCAAGGTTTGAAAATGTGGATCATTAATTATGAGAAATATGGTCAGGATATCTGTTTTCAACTAAAATATTTGCATAACTGAAGCAGTCTAGCCCATATGTGTAGCTGGATTCTTCCAAGCTATTGACGTAATCATAGACATAAAGCAACTATTTTTAAGTAACGTAGACATAAGCAAGTAGTTCACTTACTGTGAAATTTCTTCGCCAAGAGCTTGAGAAGTACGGGTTTGAGCTGTTCATTGATCCTTCAACAATAACTTGGATATGCATCATATCGCCGATATCATTCATTAATTTTCTGGACTGTAAAAAAAGTTTTAGAAATTTATTTATGCTGACATTCAAAAGGAGTTATAGTAATGGAAATAGATGCTTACCTCCACAAATGCAGGCTCAAAACGGTAATTTTCTGCAACTGCCCAAATGGGTTGTTGAGCAATGCTGTTGCAAAGGGCCTTGTAGCCCAAAAGTGCTTTTTCTGCCTCATCGGTAGCTAATTAGAGGAAAAGCCCATCGCTCACAGGTTTGATGACGTACAAACTTACTAGGTATTTAATAAAATTATCTCTAACTCTAAATCTTTTGATTGTATTTTGCTATGAAGATGATACTTTCTACCCAACTGTACATTTAGTTTCTTAAGCAAGACCTGGTTGGCGTGCTGTACAATAAAGTTATCTTCCTAATACCAGCAGAATGGATGATGTAGAGGTTCAGATCAGAGTACAATTTACTGGGTCACATTGGTAATCAAATGAGGTGCAATGACATCGTCTCCAAGACTGTTTTAATATTACATTGATGGATAATCAACCCACCCAAAGCTAGTACCATAGAAGCTTGTAGATGTGCAATTTAATTCCTGAGTAAGGTTAGTTAAATGAGTGAAGCCACAGTGTAATACACGACTTCGACAAAGATGCTTAGCCAATCTAGCCTAGTACACTCTGATATATTTTTAATTAGACAACAGCTCGAACTTCCACAGGTGATATACAAAACTTAAAGAGTGCAAATAAAGCAATGAGACTAACTGCTAGCATATTTGAACTTGATCAAACTAGTAACTGATATGCATAGAAGGTCACTTACATCCAGAAGCAGGTTTTTCTTCGGATCCACATATTCATCAGCCATGCATAGGATAAGACAAATTAGGAACTCATGGACAAGGAAGAATACTCATGTAAAAGTCTATTAACAAATCCAACACAAATAGTTGATAAATACGAATGCGAAATTGCAGATAATGAGAGCTAAAATTTCAAATGCATTTTAAAAAGTAAATACTTGGAATTATCACGTAGTCACTACTAATCAGAATAACTGTTGCTTTTGGTTAATAAATTATTGATGTGAACTCACTCTAATTTTCTTTTAGGCAAAAAAAGAAAAAAAAAAGAAAAAAGAAAGTGTGCACAAGTGTGCATATGTATAACCCTAGAGATCTATTTAGTCACCATTAAGCCTAAATGTTTGAAAGTTAAACAGGTAACTTAGAAATGACACTGACACCTAAGAATTGCCATTAGCAACCATTCAGCGAAATGTGTAAGCACAAGGACATGTGCATGGAACACATATGCGTAATATCCAAAAGAAAAGTCCCATATCGGAAAGTGATGGGAACTTTAAATTGTTTATAACGTAATCCAAAGGGCTCAAGAGTAACAAGTGCTAGCACTTTTTGGTAGTAGATTTAGCCAAATAACGAGCTGCTCTTAGTGGGTCGCATGACTTACACTACGCCAACTAGCTCGTAGGCCCAAGGCGTAACTAATGGTATCAGAGCAAGTTTGCTAGTTGGAAATATGGAGTCAAGTGCTATGCATGACTAAATGCTATACCACGTGAGCGCAGTGGAAGCCACCTCTAGAGCTCGTAGGAACCACCTTTAGAGTCCAAGTTGCCTGGTGGTGATACTTGGATGTGTCAATTGTCATGTTGTGACGAGAACGTCACATTTGTAAGGTGGGGTGATTCTAATACCCAAAAGAATAGCCCCACATTGGAAAGTGATGAGGACTTAAAAGTATATATAATGTAATCAAAAGGGCTCAAGAGTAACAAGTGCTAACAATTTTTGGTAGTAGATTTAGCCAAACAACGAGTTGCTCTCAGTGGTCCCATGGCTTACATCGCGCCAACGGGTTCACGGGCCCGGGGCGTGACATTATGACAGGCATAAAATAGTGAAAAGGTAATAAGAAAGTGATAGACAGTAGGGCTTTGATTTAAAAGATGAGATTTCATTTGCAACAATGCCTTTAAGCTGTCCTTATAATTACCTTGTATAACATGTTTTCCTGCTTTTAGCATCTTTAAAGACATATCAACCTGAAAATTTGAATAAATATATCAGTGTAACTTTATAGAACGAGGCGCATAATTGTAGAAGAAGCAAACATAGTATGACTGGTTGGCGGTTTATTCATTAGTTAAGTAATTACTTTTGGGGAAGGGATTGCGTCACTGGGATTTTCTTGAGTAAAACATGGCAAGACATCAGAAGCAAGCATCACACAGAAGGGAGGGAGGGAGGGAGAAAAAAGAGACTTATTTAATAAGTTGATTATGCACAAAACTGAACCATTACCATACCAATCAAACAATGTCTAAAATGCAATCTCATGGTCAAACACAAGCACTAAGCGAAAAGAGTTACAAGATGGAGCACCTTCATGAAATAAATTGGAAACTTTCCCTTCATATGGGTGCATGCCATAAATTTTATGTTTTTTATTACTATTTCTCATTATTATCTGAATGATTAACGAAATTTCAAAAGCTGGTTATTACAGCTACTACTAGCCAGACAACTTCTTGGGCTCTTCATATAATTTTACAGAGACGTTTCCTATTTCAAAGGAACCATGAAAGATGAGAAAGATGCACGATAAAAACTTGACGCATGACTATTAGAGTTCATATTGATGGGCAACATGCGCTTGAGTGACATCTGAAGAGCATGATTGATGATTATATATATTAAGCATAAAGTTAGAATTAAGTAATATAATCTCATGGTCATAGTAAGCATTCTAGTCAACATGGGCTGAGATATATCAGAACATTCAATATCTAGAAAGCAAGCCGATTTATATGGACGGACCTGAGCTTCTCCAGCAAGAACAATTGCAACTCCTTGTATAGAAGTATCTTGAATAATGTCATCAATGCCTGAATCACCCCATTTACATTCTACCTCTGGTGAAAAGTCACGTGCAAGTTCCACAGCAGCTTTTGCAGATTCCTAGATACAACACCATGTACTTGAAAAGAGAATGTATGCTATAGTTCAAATGATTAAAAGAAAATTTGAAAGGAAAAATGAAGAGGTTGAAAGCAATGATGCTATGACCTAACTTCAGCCTGTAAGCAATACAACCAGCTCTATAGCACCAGCACTAAATATCTGTTGCATTTAACCTTATAAATCCAGGTTATGCTGCTAGTTTTGCCTGACTTTTCCAATTTCTAACTCATAGTAGAAACGTAACATTTTCAGTGATAGAGACGGTATTCTTGAAAGAGGAGCCGACTTCAACTTGATTCCAAGAAGAAACAAGAATGTAAGAGAGAACAAACATCTGAACTAGGAAGAGATAAAATTAACTAAATTCCAAGAAGAACCAGGAATACGAGAGAAAAGACATCCAAACTAGGAAATTTACAGTCTTCTGCCTAAAACAACAAAAGGCAATATAACCTCATTTACCTCGCTGCGGCTCCATATAGCTTTGATTATGACACAATCACCTATCTCTCTCAGTCTAGGTATGTACTGTGTGCGAACAAAGATGCCTGCACCAAGTATAGCAATATGGGTAGGCATTGCTTTTGGCGAAGCCAGTCTTTACCCCACCAATTGACACCTAGATTCAGTTTCCAAGGGGGAAAAAACAGTTAGGAAAAGTTAATAAACAAAAAACTTCTGAATGAGTTACACAACAACAATTCTTAGGTCAGCATAAAATTGGAGTTACAGTAATGTGGTTATCATGCTAAATATATCACAGAGATAAGGTAAGAAAAACTCATTTTATTTTAGTTTTATAGTATCTTATTGTTCTGGCAGCACAATCACAACATTAAGCACTAGGAAAGTTAGATAGCAGTAAACAATCAACCTGATGTAATGTTATCCTGGAAGAGTAAAACAAAAATGAAGTGTGTGGTAAATACAAATTAATTAATAGACAGTAGATTAAAAACTGAAGAATTGTGTGGGTGCCTCAGTAACTAATGAATGAGTAAACCCATTGACAAATTTTTATCACGCAGCTAACTTGTTATTATTAACAATCCAAACATCAACTTTCACATTGTGAAGTAACCCATTTCTCAACATGGGAAAACTAATCCCCAGCCGAAACTAACTGCTAAAATCATCCTAAGAACATATCAGATCTAAATATACGCGATTAAGTCCAAGATCAAAACTTTCTCAATCTTCTGGTACATTCATTATGTTTGCTACAAATCTCATTTAAAAGAAAAGGAAAATGGAGAAGAAGACTCGCAAGACTTAGCATTCCAGTCTCGAAAAAGTTGCAGAAATCAAATTTAAGGGAAAATAAAAGAACACGGAAAATTAAACAAAATAAAAAGAAATTGGATCAGACGTACCTGTAGTAGGAATTTTATGTCCTCTGTGTTTCTTTTTCCCCAGCAAATAGATCTCACTCGCTAAAAACATTCGAGAGAGGGGTGTTTCTGTAGTTTTCTCGATCAAAATGAGTAGCTCATTTGATCGGGTGACGTGGCTCCTTGTGATTGGCAGATCGTGATGGAGAGGAGGTGGTGATTCTAAGGATCCGTTTAGGGGTGAGCACGGTTCGGTTCGGGTCGGTTTTTATTAAAATTTGAACAACCGAATCGAACCATCTACAATTCAAAACCGAACCGACCATTACAAATCGGTTCGGTGCGGTTCAGTTCGGTTTGTTCGGTTCTAACTTCATCAAGTATAACTTCACTTCAATTTATCTTTTATATATTATTATTACCCTATACCAGCATGTATTTGTTTTTTAACTTCACTTCAATTTATTATTCTTGCTCATGTATGTATACTGTTTTTAAGTGAAGTAACTTGTCCTTTTGGATTAAATACTAGACTCTGACGTTGTAATTTTTTAGTAACGGACTTGCTTTGTCTTTGTGTAGCAAGCTTTGACTTTGGTCTTTGTGGAGACAAAAAAAAGGAGCTGACTCATTAGAACATTGGTTATGTATGAATCAATTCCCTGCAACTGCTATTCATGGTGATCGAACACAACAATAAACCCACAAATCAAAGGCACAAATATATTCGGTTGGTTCGGTTTGGGTCGGTTTGAAAAATTATCAACCCGACCCGAACCGCCTTCCTCATAAAACCGCTTTTTTCCGAGTCGGTTTGATCGGTTTTTTCGGTTTGAGCCGAACCGTGCTCACCCCTAGATCCGATCATCCATGGCATTGAGTTTGTGAATTTCTTTTTTCTTTTTTCCTTCTATAAGTTTCTTTTACCTTTTCCCCTTCATATGTTATTTGATCTATGGAAAAATGCACAATTTACATATGGAAAAAGCCATAAGCTAGCTTTTTATATTTACCATGTAAATTAAAACAAAGAGTCGAATTAACAAGCAAAATTTGGATCTAGTAGTCTTTCGATTAGAATTCTATACGCCCCAATCAAATTTGAATGATTTTGGCGCATCCAGAACAATCCCAATTCAACATTTTCTTTGCGTATGCAATCACATCACGACTCCTAACCTTTGCCCCTTTTCAAGTTACTATTGGGACACTCCTAATCGAATAAGTCTTGTGCGTGGTTTTCGTTAAAAAAATATATGATAGGACATATTCACTTGTTAAATGTTACATTTTATGTAATATTTCTAATTTTTTAATTAATGCTTGTTGATGCTCGTAAGCAAACAGTCGATGAGGGTTTCCCACTATCGGATGTAGCTTCGATCCTGGCGATGGTGGGGAAGAAGGAGAGGATGAATGTTGGGGCCGACTCCTCCTCCGACTTTATGTCTGATTCTGAGCGCATGGGGTAGACTGATAGCCTGTACATGTAAGAATCGCAGGAATACGGGGCTAGTTTCCCCCGTGGTAGCTCCGACGGTCAAGTCAGTTGATGAACTTGGGGAGGGTTTGTTGAGAGGCCCCTGGGCCATTGAGGTCCTTGCAGGGGGTTTTTCCTCTAGAGTTACTAAAATACTCTGGATGAAGAAGATCCCGAAGGGTAGTCAATCTAAGGTGCAAGAAGAAGCAGAGTTCTTCCTACCCTTACCTTCCTTACCTCCCTTTATAGCCCCCTTGCCTCTGGGAGTTTGACCCTCGGCTTTTGTTGATTACGCACATGAGGTGGTTTGAAAGATGAACATGCATGCTGCTGAGTCATCTTTCTTCCTCCAGGTGTCGGCAATTGACTAGGAGGGAAGTCATTCAGTGTCAGGGGAGAAATGTCTTCTCAGTGCTCTGGGTTTGTCAGAATAGGCAGGGTGTAGGGTAGGTCGGTTGTGTTTCCGTCCTTCTCTCTCCAAGTGGCGTCTGGGAATTGGAGGAGAAGTCATTCGTGTACAGAGAAGCATCATGGCAATTCTCTGGAAAATGACTTGTAAGCCAAATAAGCGGGTGGTGCACGAGGGTTGTCAGAATGGAGATCTTGATGGGACTAATCAGTATTGTTGTGTCGATTGACGTCTGAAATGATCTTGGTCGACTCTTATCCCTTTGGCCGAGGCGGGTTGATCTGTGAGTCGTCATTATGATTTGGCGACTCGGTAGTCGAGTCGTTTGCTTAAGGAGTTGTCTTAATTGCGAGGGGGCGACTGACCCTGTTCTTTGAGTCGGTCATGATGACACGTCGATCAGAATAAGGCTTGTCTGCTCGTCTAGTCGAGGGACTTGGCTCTGACTGGGCTTTTGAGCCTCTAAGGTTATTCGGACCGTAGCTCGCTTGGGCTTATGCATGTATTCTTCCGATACTTCTATTTTGATGCGGTGACTGACCATAACAATGCTATATTAGAAAATGCTTCATCAAGATACAAATGTAAAATTATAAGAGGGTGTTTAAGTAAGGGATAATGGTTATTATATAGTATAGTTTTTCTTAGGGGGTTTAGTGTAAATAAATCTTAAATACCCAGAAACCCTACCCGACGCATATCACATTGCTGACTTTTTTTTCCCGTCACTTTCTCTCCACAACGTGGATAGACAGAGAGGGGCCGATCATCCTAGGAAAATTAACAGGATTTTGAGATCAAAAATATTAATCAAGGTATATTTCTATACTTAGAAGCACATGGCTTTGATATATTTGTGGTTTGATTTTATTTGAAGTCATGGCCATGGTAAACTAAGAGCTTGTTGTTGCACTCTTACATTTAATTATTTATTTATTTTTGTCTCCATGATATTTTGGTTCTTAGCATATGATTATATGGAATCTATAATAAAAAATTGATATGCATACCACGATTCACCGTGACTATAGGGTACAATAAGATATGTAGATTATTTTTAGTATAGTTAATTAAATAGTGTATGATAAGTTAGTATATCCTGAAATTATTTTAATAGCCATTTTGGGTCATAGATTATACCATAATTTTAATGGTTATTTATATATATTATGTAGGAATCCCAAGTGACTCCGAGAAGGCGTCGCGACTGGTATTCCGATAGTCTTTCGTGTTTGAGTAAGTGGTGATTTTTTGCATTTTATGCTGTGTATTTTTCATATAAAATTATATCAAGTATATGTGGAATTGTTCTGAATGGATTATAATGTTTTGTATGATTTATTCATATATCAGTTGTTGATTGGATTGTATTTTGTGATGCATATAGATATTTTGGTACATGTGTATGCTTATTTCTTTGTTGACAATTATGTCTTATCATATAGTAATAAGTTGAGATGCATATATGTGATTGATTAATTTCACTATTGGTTGGCCTTTGGCAATTCTTTATAATGTATTTGGCTATTTTTTCCCCTCAATTATATGCATCTCAGGTCAATATATTAGTATATATTGGAGATAAGCAAGTTATAAAATATGGCTCAATGTGCATCTATGAGGTTTTATTTTAACACTAAGAACCCAAATTTGGGTCTCACCGTCTCAGAACCACAGGCTTAATAATTGTAGGGTTTACCTAGTCAATCAGAGTATGAAGTGTTGACCGCATTGAGACATGACTAGCTTATTTCTATTTCATAATTTTTAAGTTTTTGAATATTTGCATCAAGTACTAGAGTTCATTGATAATTCTCTATTATTTCTATATTTTGCTTATCATTTGTCGAAATATTTGAGTTTTTGCAAAATCAGTGTTTAATGTATGAATTTATCTATTTATTGAGTTGTGAACTCATTGTGTTATATTCATCCTTTTCAGAGACTCGGGATTAGGTGGAGTTGGTGGTTCCTAAATTATTAGAAGGGAGTAAGGAATAAAATTTGCAGATTACTAAGATTGAATAAAGTCTTCGATATGTAGTTTATAATTGGAAGCTTTGTAGTAATGGAATATTTACCTTTAAGGTTGAGTTTTATTTCAAGTTGAGAAATATTTGTTAATTGGATTAATATTGACTTTTGGATTAAGGAGAATACTTTGTTGTTGGTATAATTCAATGGTGAGATTGTTTTGGTGGTCTTTTGATGAATGCATGTAGATTCTTAGATGATATTTTCACAGGTTTAGTCCGACTCTAATATTCATTTTAGTTTCGAAAATTAGGGTCGTGACAGATTTTTCTGTTTTATTTATATTTATTTCTTAAATGTTATATTTCTTTTTTTTAAATGTTACCTTTACAGGATTCCTTGCTTCTTTCTCTTTTTCGCTTCAATTTCTTCATTCAAAGACACGCCAAAGATAATAAATAATATTTAAATGTGACAAATTTGACACAGATGTAACAAATCATATTTGCACATGACAAAATTATGCTAAAAATAATATTGTTATGGGTTGTTTGGTTCGCTTAAAAGAGCCCCGAAAACCCATTTTCTCCATCTGACAACAGTGTCATCTCGATAAAAAACCATTCTAGGGTTTTCTTTTCTCCGCTTTGGTTCGCTTATTCTTCTCCTCCATCCAGCCGCGAAAAACCCCCACTACCTCAGCTCTTCGTCTTTCCCCTATTTCATTCGAAAACGAGAGGAAATCGGTGTAAAATAGACCAAAATATATAATATTGTCAGATCTACGTTTATTAGGGCAAAACTTGTTGATGGCTAGGTTACCACCGCTTTCCCTCATTTTTTCCCACTCTTTGCGCCTTGGTTCCTTTCTGATGCCTGCGGGAGTTCTGAAGTGTTGATTTTGTGCTTGATTTTTGATTTATCAAGCCTTGGTTCCTGAAATTCGCATTTTTGTTGAATCTTGCTAGAAAGGCCGGGCCTTTATTAGGAAAATTTTGTATTTTTGTTGGATCTTGCTAAAAAGACAATCTAAGGTATGATTTCTGCAGCTTTTAGAAATATTCTGATGAAATTTGGATGTTGCATTTTTTTAGAATTATTTTGAAAATATCATGTTCTTATAATATTGTGTTTTTTAGAGTTGTGCACTTATTTTTGAGTAAATTTTAAGAAATTATTTGAAGTTTAATCATTTTCGGCAAGGATTGATATGTTAGCTAGTTATAGAAATGAGTTTAATCATTTTTAGTGCAACTGAAGCTGGCTC